TCTCTAATAGATATATTTAAATTAATTTTACTATAAATTATCACTCCTTCATTTTGCGTATTGTTATTTAGCCTGTAACTATAACTGTAGCCTTCAATAGGAGGTATTATTTGAGAACTTTGTAACCAACATTCAGTCGCGATTATTATGTCAAAACTAATTTTAGATCTTGTAAGTAATGTAATTAGATTATCGTAATTTTTTCTAATGCTGCGCACATTCTGCATTAAAAGTTTTAAGGGTTAATTGTTATTACCTGTAATATGCTTATAGCTGTGTTCTATATCGCAGTATGAGGAGTTTGCTGTTGTTATTGTATCTAAATCGTTAATTATATTCCTTATATTTTCGCCTTTTGTAATATTTTTTTTTAAATTAATATAATCTTTCATCATGAATTCGATGTAAAAAAACTGATTAAAAACTTAGTTTTAAGGTGCATGAATACTTTAGAACTAAAAATATATTTTATATTTATAAACAAAAATATTTGGTAAATCCTTCTCTTAATTCTAACAGTATACATAAATCTATTCACCTGTAACTTATATTTAGTACTAAAAATAATATTACTGGACGAATCATACATAAGAATAAAATTAAAAGTGAGTTTTATGTAGTTTAAATGTTATGGGTGCATGTATTGGTTATTAGAATAAGTGTTCGATATAAAATTAACAATAAAACTAAAGACTAATATTTTAAAACAAAATAACATAAAAAAAAACACAGAACCCGATTTTTATGTCAAAACTAATTTTAGACCTCGATAGTAATGTAATTAGATTACAAAAACTTTTTCTAATACTGCGCACATTTTGCATTAGTAGTTTTATGGGCTGATACGAGTAGCGATTAGTTGCAGTATGTTTATAGCTGTGTTCTATATCGCAGTATGAAGAGGTTGTTTTGATTGTGTCTAGATCGTTAATAATATTCTTTATATTTGCCTTTTGTAATATTTTTTGAACATGTACAATCCATCATCACGTATTCGATGTAAAAAACTGATTAAGAACTTTTAAGGTGCGTGAATACTTTAGTACTAAATAAATATTTGATATTTAGGAATAGAAATATTTGGTAAATCCTTGTATTAATTCTAATAGAACACATAAAGCCACTCACCCGTGACATATGTAATATTATAATATTATTACTGGACAAATCATATAGGATCAAAGTTAAAAGTGTGTTTTATGTAGTGTAAATGTTTTGCGTGTATGTATAGGTTAATAAAATAAGGATTCGATATAAAGTTAATACAAAACTTAAGACTAATAATTTCGAACAAAATAACTTAAAATGATAACTTAAAATGACAGAGTCATACTTTAGTTTTGACAGATCTTCTTCACTTTCAATATGAATTGTTTGTATCCCGTCTTTCTTGCGTAGATATATTTTGCCATAAGAAGTCCAGCAACTATCATAGTTGTGAGCCTTCGCGAATTGTCTGGCTAAATAGTGTAATCTTTTTGCCCTTGGTGTTAAGTATTCCTTACTTTTTTTTGTTCCTTACTTTTACTTTTACTTTATGTATATAAACTTTCCTGTGTTTAACAAATAATTAATGAGTACTCGCAACTTATTTTGGCATGCCCTTTTAAAATGCAAAAATGTCTACAAGGCGCACAAGTTCATAATATATCTGGATGAAATTAATTCGAAAATAAATTTGAAATTCGAAGACAAAAGCAAGCCTGACGTTCGAAATAGAGAACGGAAAAGTTTTGTTATAGAATTGTGGCTACAAACGAGCACACGTATACGTGGTAGAACCGCGCCGCAGCTTTTGTTTAACAATTGGTGAGAAACCGGTTCTACTTTCTGCGGGAAGGCTGTCCAGGAGAATTTCTGGGCCATACTGGAAAGGAGTAAGCCCAACTTTTAGATTCTCCTGTCGTGTCTAACTCGACTCTCCCAAATTGCACGAACACACATCGTTGTCGCGAAAGTTTTTTAAAAAAACTCACTTTAAAATATTTGGGTGTTTGACGGTCCACGGTTTAATAGAAGTTTTCTTCCTCGTACGAAATTTCTGTGGATCCGCTTACCACCGGCGAATGTTTCGATCCGACACGGTTTAGGTACCTTCAAGAAACGAGCTTAATAGTTTTAAAAGGGTCGGCAACGCAACTGCAATTCTCTTGGTATTGCAGTTATTCAAGAAGCAGCTATTTTACGTTGGAATTCTGTGAAAGCGTGGTCGTTCTCCGGTCGAGACGACTCATTTGTGCTAAAATATAATATAGATACAGCATGGTTCTACTACGTACATATATTTGCAGCATGGTAGCATTGTTATCCCAAATCAACCTGAACACAACTTTCAGGAAAATTTTGTCCGCACCACTTTTTACGTACAGAAATTTCGTAGCGAAAGCGAATGTCGTACCCTCAGGGAAAAAGGCATAAGATGAAAGATATATTTAACGGGAGAGAAAAAACTGTTTTATCTTGAAAGCTTTTGAGATTTTTAAACGTTATAACATATACTTATACACAATGAAAAAGGGGAATATTTACAAAATATATATTTTTTGTTTTTTCATTAACAATTAATATTTAAAATAAAATAATATGCTAATTTCCGCAGTTTTGTATAATATCACATTATACTAAAATACTTCCTTCCTTTTACCTCTTTTGTTAAAATGAACCCTCTTTCATTGACTTCGTATTTAATTGATGTACCGTTTCCTCCTCTTCTTTTTAAGTAGTTTGTCCCCGTCCATCTTGACGTACGTTCACTAAATCATCATGGAACCTACTGAAAGTACTAAATTGTTAATGAAAATAAACGAATGTGTACTTTGGGCTAGAACGAAATTCCAGATATGGGAACCTAATCGGAACACCTAATATTTGCTATGTGTTTCCGACCTGCCATGAAGTAAATTGTAAAAAAATTAGGCGCTGTTTGTATTTGTGAAAATAAAGACACAAAACTATTTAAACTTTATTTCAATATTCAGTAAGTTAAAGAATGTTTTTTTTAACTTTTTTTGAACAATTAACTGGCGTTTTACACAACAGTATGTCAGACTCAGACAAAGTGCGAAAGAGAGCTTCAAGCCTTTACAGTAATTTGGTACACATACGTCTGCAAAAATCGATACAATGAGATAATGGGAGCAACTAGACGCTGATACATCATGCTCTATTTATCTACAGCTGATATGATATGATATCCTTAATACACTGGATAAGAAAAACAATTTGACACACATCTTTTTCTCGATTTCAATCGTCATTACATTAGTATTTGCTGTCTGTTCAAATAATATGTGTGATCGTTCCAGTACTAACACTATCTCGTTTATAACATCCATGCCTCTTTACTTTCTTGACTCGTTCACTTTTTCCTTAATAAAGATGAGATATGAGAAAAAATTCTCTAAAGAAAATCTTCATTTGAGCGCAATAAAATTATGTGAATTTTATTTGCGATTGAATCTGTTTTCACTTACAGTAATTAGTAATAGCGTATAGTTAAAGTAGGTTACCTATTTTATTTGTAGGTAACAAAAAAGCTAAGCTGACATGGAATAAATATACTTTAACGTTCTTTAGTTAAACACTGCACTTCATAACTTTAATTTTGTAAAATGATCGGTAATGCTATAAATTCGGTCGTACTATCTAAAGACAGCTGCCAATGATGGTGATAATTACTGTTATCTATTTATTGAACATAAACTTTTATTTGTGCAACTTTTGCCAAATTTAATAATAAAACAGTTTTGAGGTAGCAATAAATTATCTTTCCTGATGAATGTCGCCATTTTGTGACATTAATCGTATTTAGTTACGCGTTAACCAAAATGGTTCATTTATGTGATATGATTAAATTGGTAAGATTCATTGTTTCTACGATAAGGTAGATATGATTTTCTTAATACTCTCAAAATGCATATATAATAATCTTAAAACGTTATCTACATTAATATAATATTTGCGAAACCAAATCGCGTGTAAAATAAAAATAATTAATGTTTTTTCTTATTTTTTTTCTATCGGTCCCTTAAATTCGACAACTATAATTTGATCTCTTCCGTTGTAAAGAGGATTTACCTGAAATGCCATACTTGACAAGCGGATTACCGTTAGCAATACCTGACTTCGCGCACCTTTGACACTGCTCTTCGTCGCCACAGTTTTTTCATTTTGTATTTGTCGTATTAAAAGAGATGGTACATCGTGTATCCATTTGTGTTGAAATTTCTTAAAGACAGCCGTGGGACATAATGGGGTGATGTAATCTCTTACGGTGATACCACTTGGTTGATTTACCTCGTTCTCAGCGGTCAAAGAAATCATTATAAAGATACCTGCATAATTGAGGAATAGAATATTTCTAAAACATGTGCTCAGAAGTTTATATATTTAGGCTATAAATTTAAAGAACTTACTTAATTTATTTAGCTATTTCATATATAATAATAATAATAAAAATAATAATAGTAAAGGCGTAAGGAAGTGATGACCCCATCGCCCGCTGACGTAACGGTTATGTGACAAAACCGCTACGTCATCTCAGTCAGTCAGCACTTTGCCAAGAGGTGTAAGTGCCGTGCCTCGGCAAAAAATGAAGGTGCAAAGGCCAGCTTGTGCACATGGCCCCACCATGAAACGGCGCCCGGTCTGGGCGTCTCCCGTTAAATGGCGCCCACTTATATGGATGATGGAATACGGAAAAACGCACAAAGGGCCGCTGCCTGGAGGTCGCCAGGGCGCGTCTGGAGCTGGCGCTGGACGCGACAGCATGTGACCCGCCAGCCGAGCGAGAGGTGCTGCACGACCACCCATCAGCCCCTCGCATCCATTATCCACACCATCTGGCTTGGTGTCGGCAGGGTCTTCGCGGGCCCAGCAATCGGCACCTGCCACTGGTGGAGTACGCCGCATGCGATGGATAATCAAAATGAATACCAACGCACTGTGATTTTAGGGCGAAAGGGGGGAGCAGTTGGAGGTTTGGTATATCGGGATCCTAGATGCATCGTCTTTTTGCTGAGCTGGAGCCATCTATAACCGTCACCGAGCAAAACCTGGCAGACCGAGTTTGGTATGTCTTACGCTCAAATATATTTGATGTTGCCGAACTCGAACGGCTACGACTTGAGGGTGTTCCTTCATCGGGTGCAAATGCTACAGCTGAGGATACGGCGCCACTACTTGCAGAGAAAACGGCAAACGTGGATGCCGCCATGAATACCCCAGTTGTGGTTGATTCAAACGATGATGGAACAATCACCCAGGAACTGGAACTAGAGCAAATAAGGAGTACATTGGAAGAGGCGATTGTGGAAACGCGCAGTACGCCTCTCGAAAATCGACCGCGATTTCCCCGCATAGCCCTAAGCAAGCGGAATCGGGCTGTCGTGAGGGCTCTGAACCTAATGCTGGTGACCTATTTGGAAGCCAGACGGGACCTTTGCGAGACGGACTCAATTCTTTTCGGCGCCGCACTGGCAGTCTGCCGTATTATGGGTGCCAAACTCTCCACGGCTCGACGCGCTACTGGACAAAGTAGTGCTATCCCAGCCTTGAGAATAAGAATTGAAGAACGTATCGCAAAGGCTAGGCATCGGCAGACTGATATGCTTCAGGCAATACCAGGCCAAGGATTGTGCGCACCGTCAGGGATAAATGTTAGTTTGTCCCAGCCGGATATAATGCAAAAACTGACGGAGCGTATAGACGACCTGAAGCAGAGAATCGCTGCTTGGGGAAAGCGGATTCGGTGATATACCGAGAGGTCGACACGGTTCAACCAGAATCGTCTCTTCCAGAGTGATCACAAGAGGCTTTATAACCAATATACCAAAACCAAAATACGACCAATAGTAAGTGGAACGGGCCCAGCACCGAATCAGGCCGACACGGTCGCATTCTGGCGCAGCCTGTGGTCAGAGCCCATAAACCACAGTGAGGGCCCTTGGACGGAAGTTGTGGCGAGTCAGTGTGCGGGTATAACGCCCATGGACCCCGTCATCATAACGCCGGATGACATAGCTGAGGCGGTCCGTAGGGCTCCGAACTGGAAAAGTCCGGGGCTTACCCCTCTATCCTTAGCCAACGAGCAAAGGCAGTAACAAGCATTTCCGACCGGGAGACCGTATGGAAGGAGAAGGAGACGGAGGACACGGGAGGTACTACAGAGCTCTACATGAGCCCTTCGTAGATACAGTCGCCTCCCTCAACTGGCTACGTTTCGGTGACCTTTTCGGGGAAACCGAGGGTTTTGTCTGTGCAATACAGGTTATTAAGACCAACAACTATCGGAGATACATACTAAAGGATGGCACCGTCGACGTCTCTCGAGCTTGTTGCCATCCCGGTGAGTCACTTAGGCATGTCATCTCCGGTTGTTCGGCGCTTTCTAACTCTGAGTACTTGCACAGGCACAACCTAGTAGCCAGAATTCTACTCCAAGGGCTCGCTCTGAAATACGGTCTCGTGGACCGGAAATTGCCCTATTACATGTACTTGCCGGAAGTCGTGCTCGAAAATGACCGCGCGAGGCTCTACTGGGACCGGGCCATCATCACAAACAGGACTATTCTTGCGAATAAGCCTGATATTGTGCACCGGGCACAGTCAAGTACATTTTCGATCGACATTACCATTCCGTATGACGAGAACCTCGTGAAAGCCGAAACAGATAAATGAACAAAATATCTGCACCTGGCTCACGAGGTAACCGACATGTGAGGTGGTCTGCCGACCGAAATTATTCCTGTAGTCGTCTCTGCGAATGGGCTAATCCCAGTCAGCCTCTCGGGTCATCTGAGGCCGCTGGGACTCCGTGACGGACCGCTCCGAGCTCAAATGCAGAAGGCGGTGCTCCTCGATACCGCCCGCATCGTCCGCCGGTTTCTTTCCCTTTTCTCCCTAACCCTCGGCCGTTTAGTCTCCCCTGCCGAGAGCTTCCATCTGGTTGGATCTTATTTATTTATGTATTTTTTATATTTATTTTATTTTATTGATATTTATGTATATTACTTTTCATTTTAATTTAAAATTATATATTTATAGAACCCAAGCAGATGGGAAAATTATATAGATACCCCAAAAATAATAATAATAATATTTTATTTCCGACTTAGAACAAAAACTACTTAAAAGTGATGTCAGTAATTAACTTTTTTTAAACTTAACAAAAAATACGCTCCTACTTTTCCAATATCTTATTTCTTTACTTTTATTCAATTTTATATGTAGGCTAAACCAGTGTTTCATAATGTTATATATATATATATATATATATATATATATATATATATAACATATATATATATATATATATATATATATATATATATATATATATATATATATATATATATATATATATATATATATTTATATATACCTGAAGCCTTTGCTTTAATTTGTATACACAAATTAAAAAAAATTGACAAATTTATAACAGAAAGAACACTGTACTAGTGCGTTATATGACTTTTGTTAAAACGCTTGTCTTATAACTTTTAAAATTACAGGAAAAAGAAAAATGTAGGAAAACATAATATTAGAAAATAATCTATGGACAGAAACATATTGCCATCATCGTTCTTGGGTATATTTTGTATGAAGTTAGTTCTTATGTTATTAATGTTTCAGCTATATTTTCGATTCAGCGATTCAGCGAGCTCCGATTTATGCAGTATGAACTTATTGAAGTGATCGGTAATATAAAATAAATTAACATACGCGATAAAATGAGTAAAAACAAGTATTATTTAGGCTAACAGATTTTGATGATATTTTTTTATTTGAAAACTGATGCTCTTTATGTGGTCCTTTATAAATTTGTATATATAATGCGTTAACTTCAGAACACATGATAATGATAAATGATACATTTTATTCACTTTAAAATAAAGTAAGATTTACTAACACACTGAAACCTGCAAGTGACTTCAAAGAAGAGATGACAACGCATCTGTGATGCGTTGTCACCCCTGATCACAAACGTATAATAATACTTCACAGTCGATGTGCTTGCCTGTTGCTATAGCAGTACTGTTAGGTTCTTGTTTTCATTGTGCTGGATTCACTGCTGTATCAACCCACGTGAACTCTAAGGTAAAAAAGATACCTATATAGCAACATTTCTAAAAATTTTAATAAATACTTCTTCCGCTCTGAGTAGGCTTGGCAAGCCAACTTCAAATGTGCGTTGGTAGATTGCGTTGGGAGGGTTTTCTTCCCATTCTTCGCGTGACAGCCGACGTGGAGTCGCGGAAAAAGTGAAGTGATGGTATGTTGAGACGTTAAACCATATCCAATACGGCAGTGGGAGGCCGCTGAGGGAAAGGATTGTAATATGAAAACCGAAAAGACAAAAACTTAGGGTATATATCTAACCCTAACTTATTTTCTTTGAAACTTGACGTTTGGAAAACGAGCTTTAATGGAACATTATAATTATATAATAGACCTTTCTAGACCCGTCTAAATATTAACATGGACAAAACAAAGATCATATGCAACGTCCATGTCATAACTATGTCGATAGTTGTTGGGATCACTAAGCTCGAAGTTGTAGACGGGTATGTTCACCTAGTACAAATAGACTGACTAGGTAAGTCCAAGTTTGACCGAGAGGTCAAACGACGGTTTCGTCTCGACTGGAAAGCGAGCGAGTTAACGACACATCTTCTCATCATGTATAACCTCAAAACTTGAAAACGAGATTGTACAACTAGTGTGTGTTTCCATTAGCTTATGGATATGGATTTTATTTAGTAGTCACTGATTACTCCCTAAATCTTGCCACATATTTCACTGCGAAAGACATAGGTATTTTGGAGTTATTCTTTGATATATTATCTTGAAGGCAAAATATTCCCAAAGATATATGAATAACTCCGGTTCCATTTGAGCAATATGTTTCATTGTCTTCAAGAAGTCAAATTGTCTACAATTCTTCACAGGAGGATTCCAGCTTGAAGGAAGCATATATTTCTTTTCGATAATGGGGCATGTTTTTCGCCACTAAATGAGGCATAATCACCAAAAACCCATTCTGGGGTTGGCTAACGGTTAGGATTTAAATTAGGTACTTGTCATTTTATAAAATATTTTACTTTCACAATTTTGTTTTTGAATGCGGGTTTCGGCAAATTTAGTTCTCATTTTTATCCTTATGCTTTGTGGTACCGAAAATTAAAGTACTTGCAGTATTGCTTAATGGTACCCACGTACAGTATAAATAGAGTGTGGTGGTAGCATAAGTAAAACCGCCCATCCATTTCATCATGACCATGGTGAAAAGGGCGTGACAGAAAAAAGCTAAAGGAACTTGTAGTCTCTGATATGCAAATCCTATCATTTACGATTGTACGAGCAAAATTTATGTTCTTTTTAATAGCGTTCTCGAAGACGTCTCAAATTTTTTTCCCAACGCCAAGCAAAGCTTAGTCACCCAGGTTCTGTTCATTGTTATACATGCGTCAAAATTGCGAGACATCTGATATTCGAAACGCCTTGCAAGCTACATTATAGGAACGATCATTAATGAATTTTTTCTTACTATATAGATTATATATGTAGTAGTAAAGATTTTTGTGAAGCAGTGGAAACTTTACGGGCTAAAGAGTTTAGATGAAGATGAGATGAGACATCTATTAACAATCCCGTTAAAGATATAACTATATCATTAGAGATGGATATGGATGAATATTTGGTGCATCCAATTCTACCTTAAATATTTTTAGCATTATATCTGAAATGGCTCCCTCCATACAGAGCCGTGGTAGCTCAAGTGTACGTAGCGCAAATTTCACAAAACGCGAGCAGCCTGTGCTCGAACCACGACTATTGTAATTTTAAACTCTTATTTACCACATCATGTTGTGAGATGGAAGAAAACATTACGATAAAACTTGCATGTTAAGAAATAATATATTTATTTCAAGGACAACACATCCGACAACACGCATTGAAGCAGTGCAGCGGGCGCTTACTTGTCCTAATTCATCAGCCTATCTCCTTAACTACTTATAAGGGACCTACGGAATTAAACAATTGATCAACTGTATTCAAATGAAGAAATTGCCGTAAGAAAGGTAAAGAGTTAAATGTCTATTTAGAATTGTTAAAACCTAACAAGTACACAGTCACAATCTACGTACTTTTATATTGTGTGAAATTCATACCTACTATATATATTTTATTATATACAGCATATAATATTTTATTATATTATATGCTGAACATAGGCGTCTCCACAGATTACATTTTCCATAGCTTGGAACGTTGGTTCGCAACAAAATATATTTAATTAATTGAATTATATTTCGGTAAAAAGCTCAGTAAATTTGAAATTTTGAGTGTTTACTTGCATTTCTTTAAAATAGAGATGAAAATAATATGCAATATGTCATAGTTAAATTCAGTTGTTCTTGGTAATAGAGGATTCTAAGCGAATGTTCAGAATATGTTGTGCAATAAAAATCATGTTTCTTTGAACATATCTTAAAAATACTGCAGATATGTTTAAATTTTAAAATACTTTACATTGAGCCGTTGAAGCGAAGAGCGGAAATCCAATAAGATTTCAGTAAGTAGATGTTTGCAGCAGTGCTAAATATCAATACTATACAGAGTCGTGTTTTAACATTTATAAGCCTAGTGCAGCGTTTGTTCGTGTAAACTAGAAATTTTTATATTTTGTTTCTTTTGCTGAGCCCATAATTTTCGTCAGTAATCAGAACATAACAATACACTTCTTTGTTAG